ACACACACACACACACACACACACACACACACACACACACACACACAGGTGAAGTGATCAATCTTTATTGTCTCAGCATGTCGCGTTACCACTCTCACACCTTTTAGACAGCCACACTAAACACAGTGGAGCATAAAAGAAGAAGGTCTTCTGTTAGTTTGAGGAGATCTAGAAAGTTTGTTGTAAGCCAGAAAACAAATGTCACAATTCAGTATTATTCGATTCCTTACTTAAGAAAAATGTTACTGTCTCCATGTAAGCTGCTATGGGGACACAAATACCAGCTTTTCAGAAGATCAACACGTAGGAGCACTGCTTACACTTGGGTTTGCCCTGCCCCAAAATCTTTTTCTGTCCTTCCTGCCACCATGAAACTCACAAAAGGAATTCTATAATTATAACCTCAAATCTGCCTCGACAGCTTAATTATGTTGACTTTTTGTTTGTACATTTGGTATATGTATATTTTGATTATTTGATGTGTAAAGGATGGGACTGTGTTTCTGACACAGTTTCTAAACTGTGCGACATTAAGAAACTTATTCTTGCTTTCAGGTTGGAGAAACATTCTGGATCACAGAGGAGATTATGGGTCTAACAATATTAGCAGCTGGCACTTCGATCCCTGACCTGATCACCAGTGTGATTGTAGCACGAAAAGGCCTCGGTGACATGGCCGTGTCCAGCTCTGTGGGCTCAAACATCTTTGATATCACTGTGGGGTGAGTCCAGCAAGAAAACACACTGTGTAATATCTGTTTTTAGTTGACAGCAAGTGCTGTTCGTCTCTCATAACTTAAATAACCTTTCTCTGTTGTGTTCCTCTTCTGCCTCCAGTCTACCGTTCCCCTGGCTCGTTTACAACATCCTCAACGACTTCAAGCCAGTAGAGGTGAGCAGCAACGGCTTGTTCTGCGCCATCGTCCTCCTCTTCCTCATGCTCCTCTTCGTCATCATCTCCATCGCGGCTTGCAATTGGAGAATGAGCAAGTTTCTGGGCCTTTTCATGTTCGTGCTCTACTTCGTCTTCCTCGTCCTTAGCGTCATGCTGGAGGACAAAGTCATCAACTGCCCCGTCACCGTCTGAGAGAGAAAGGGAGCCAGAAATTAGGCGCGAATGTGCTTGTGTGTACAGTGGGATTTACAACAGGAGAGGAAAATCATGCTCACACAGACACAAACTGTCTCTTATCTGTCTCACTTACATACACAGTAGAAGACTGCATGCACACACACACACACACACACACACACACACACACACTCAAGTGAAAGGTGAAGAAAACAAACACACACAGGTTGTGGATGTCAGTTAGGCAGAGACGCTGACTTAAATCAACACTGGAAATTCATACCGGTGCATCACACCCGTCCAGCAGCTGGCAAACAAGCCTGTGCATCGTCAATGGACTTTATTCCACCCAATAGGAGAGACTCCTCTCTCTTTGTACCATGTGACTACATTCAGTAATCACTTTGGGTTGAAAACTGATTGACAAGTTATGTGGACGCCACCTGGGATGGAAAATTTCACCCGAGATCACCAGAGATTGTTGTTTTTTTTAACTAAAGGACCACATGGCAGGATAGGAAGTACCTCCACTACTCATGCAAGCAGCCAAGTTAAGCACATAAACTGAATATGGAGGCTCAAAAAGACTTTATTTTGTTGTTGTTTTAAAGGGCAGCAAAGCTCCGGAGAGATCCTGCATGTCTGCGGTTAAAAAAAAAAGGAAGGGCCGGGCCACACATAAGTGTGATAGCTGCTTTGTATTTGTTAATGTACCTCCTGTATGGCTTTGCAATGGCATCAAAAGAGAAATATCCAGTGTTAAAAAACCTTGAGGGTGTTTCGATACAGTATATTCGAGGACATATTTTGCAGAAATGGTTACTTTACATCCTATTTATGATAGGATACTATTCTATGATAGGATACATTAAATGCTAAATAGTTACATTAGAGCTTACACAGATAGACGGTTCTAAGGTGTTTTCATACTCAATATAGTCCAACTTGTTTGGGTTTTTCATACCATAAGTTTGTTTCTGTTCTGTCTGCCTTTACATTGCACTTTGTGCATGGAAATGTAATAACCAGGACAGTGTGGAATTTCCCAGTCGATGATGCCATCTGGACAACAAGTGGTGGACTAAAGATTAGTGTTTTCCGTTATATTTTACTTTATGAACTCAAAAGATTGTTTTTTTTCAAATCATGTATTTATAAAAAAGAGTGTTAAATATCAATCACCGGGTTTCTTCTGTCATGTTTTGATGTCAAACAACTCATATACCATATAACATATCTCGCCGCTATGTTCACATGCTATGTTCTTGTGTTCAGTGTGTGACATAGAGATTCAATTCTTAGAATAAAATGATTGTAAGAATCAGCAAGTAGGCCCGTCATTTTATTGTAAAACCAAACATGGACTGTCGTGACTACATATTTTGGCAATTTAGTTTTCTTCTAAACGCTCTCTGTTTCAATTAACTCATACAATCAAGATAATCAGATCAAACAATAACAAAATAAAGAGCAGTCTGTAACTCAATGAATCTGTTTCCATTTTTGTTTCTCGTTTTGCGAAATTCAGGTAGATGTTTTTCATTGGGTTTCCTTTGTTGCTTTTAATGAGCAAAGTCAAACTATTTTGTCTTCATCAGTTCAATCACCTGTTGCATGACTGCCTCATATACGCCATTAGTTTAAAATATATGAAGCACATCTGTATGTGGGAAATATTTTATACTTTATTCTCCCAACAATATTCAATATGCTCCATCAGTCTTGGAGAAATGTTTAATAAAGGTATTATAGACATCATGGCAGTATCGGTTTAACACTCCCAAAGGGTTAAAAAATAATATTTTGTGTCTCTGTGTAAACCAAATATTATTTTTTTTTCATAAATTGAAAAAATTTTTGTCCATTAAATTTCCCCTAACTATTCCCTATTTCTTGCAAAATTTAAAACGTTTGTTTTATTGTGTGAAAATGTGTACAAAAGATTTGACTGTATACAAGCTCCCAGTCATAGTCAGCACATAGTTAACCTCAACAGTCAGCCTCAACGTCTATTCTCGCACTCCGGACGTAGACTGCCCATATAAGTATCGTTTCTAAATCTTTCTTGCTTTGGTGGATTATGTAAAAGTGAGGAATGTGTGTATGAATGAGTGCATTTAGGAATCAGAATTCATCCTTGACCTGTTTAAATACCATGACAAATGGTAAAATGCTTTTGTATTTCCTATCTACGTTATGTGTTAAGTATGGAATCATATTCATGTACTACTTGAATTGTATATTATACTGTAAAAAAACATATATCATTCATCTCTGTATAAACTGTCCTATGATAAAATAAATGACACCTCAAATTTTCATTGTTGGTGTTTGGAGTCGATGGTAACTTTGGGATTGGTTTAGAAACTATTTTTTTTTTTGAAAAATGAATTTAAATCTCATAATTATTATATATTTATTTTACACAGAAAGAATAAATACTCAGTGTAATTTGACAAATCTGTAATAGCTGGGGTCATAGGACATTTTAAATCTAACACACCACTTAAAAAGTCGGCCCACTTTACCTCTCGTCCCCCTCACAACAGCGGTTCAGATTTGCAGTGTCATCTATCAGGACTGTGATCTGCTTTACTTTGACACAATCCTCTTACAGCAGCAGCATGGCCTGCTGCCATGATCCGCGTGATGCAACAGGGATTCACTGAACACCTGTGGTCAACCAATAAAGAACATGCTCACCTGCTTTCTGTCCGTGTTTCTCTTCACTGACAACTGAGGATGTTTACTTACTGTACTGTTTCAGTCTGCCGACCAGTTAATGACAAACTTCCTTGTCTGTGTCTCATATGTAAATGTCACAGTTGAGTCCTCTAACCTCAAGTATCTCATAAAGGGAAGAAGATAAACGTGGTGAGTCCATTCAAGCCATCGTATAAGCCTCAACTCAACTTAAGAAAGTACTCTACACGGACTGAGGGCTGTGGATTTTGTTCCCCATACGATGAAATTAATTTGAAGGATGGCCATTAATAAAATTCGTACATGTTACTCCCATGGTGTGAGACAGTCCAGTTGTGATGTCATAAAGTTTAAAGTGTGTGAACATAACAAATTCTTAATTTAGGTGGTGTTCTCCTTTATGAAGGGCCAGGGTCTTTCCGTCGCTGGTGTGGACAGTGGCAACAGTTGCAGTAACCAAAAGCTATTTCAAAGCTCATAAGAGCGCATATGAACATAAGACGTTAAGATGGACTCAAAATAAATGCATCCAACCAGTTTATATTAGCCATTGACCATTAAGTCAAGGTGAATGGTAGATATGATCAGGAGAGACAATTAAAAGAAGAAATCTGAAGCTAGAATTTGTAAAATGAAGACAGTGATGAACTTGTCAGGTGCCAGCTGCAACAGACTTTGAATGTGTTGTTAACCACACTAACACTAACCTGCACTAATGAGTAGGATTAAGTCTCTGGTGCTTCACATTCCCAAGCAATAGGTGGCGGTAATGCACTTAACACTTTAAAATCAAAAGAAGAAGAAGAAGCAACCGGAAGCGTGCAACTGTTTTGTAACAACAATCCTACAATGCTGCACTTTGTGTGGCACGAGCCCCGACTGGTCCAGAGTGCCATTTCATTCATTGCTATGTGGTGATCGCTGTTTGAGAAAGCAGCATGGATCCATTAGAGTCAGAGGGACTGAAAGCCGGTCTCGGCCCGGAACAAAGTCCCAAACCCGAGCTTTCTGCAGCGATGCGGGCTAAAATCGAGCGGAACCGGCAGCAGGCGTTGATGCTCCGGCAAGCGCGACTAGCGAGCCGCCCATCGTCCGCTGTAGAGGGGGCGACCTCGGCGAAAATCTCCAAGACCATCGACTCTGGTGCCGGTTTCTTCATCGAGGAGGAGGAGGAGGAGGAGAAAGAGCAGAGGACCAGGAAGGTTGTGCATCAGCCAGGTGTGTGTTTGAGCGTCTGTGTTCGGTGACTTAGGTGTGTGCATGCATGCTTATTTGACTTATATGTTGTGTTGAGTGTGGGTGTGTTTTGTTTCCAGCCCCAGTCATCGAGCCAGACTACCTGCTGTGCGATGATTGTCAAAAGCCCTTTATGGACTCGTACCTCAGCAACAGCTTTGACCTATCTGTCTGTGATAAGTGCAGGTAAACGCACTCACACACACACACACACACACACTCTCACACACACACAGAACAAGAAGTTTTTAATGCAGCTTTTAGAAAAGCATTATGTCCTCTTCATTATGGAGAATACCTGTAAATTATGGTACAACCATTATTTTGGATATTGTATGCTAATTGTACATGATGATGTGCATTTATCTGATAAAGCATGAATTCCTGCAGGCTCTCTACTGGGTCATACTCTCCGTCTCCAATCACAAGTTGCTGCTTCGTGACCGGGAGACACTATATAAGATATTTCAGCTGGCTGCAGCTGCTTACAATGTGGGTGTGTTGGGCGTTTCGCTGGCTTCTTCCCAGCCTAAAGACCCTCCCGCACTGTCTCGGGCTGACATTTTGGACTTTGCATCGGCCAAATGAATTGTCTAATTCAGGGAGTTGCAACTGCTGCGGTGATGACCCTAGCCACTGTAGGTTCACGCCATGTGGGGCTGGGTCTTAACGCTGGGTGCCCCCCATCGCCACGGAACTGCAGTTCGTGTTGATTTCAATGGTCACTCTTAAAACGTCTGGATGACGAGAAATCACAGCTCAGCCACCATCTGCTGCTCGCCCACCCTCAGAGGAACGCTGAGCTATAGCATAACAACTTGCCTGTGAGGAGGAGGGGAACGTTGGCTGGATAGAGCACCAACGCCTCCACTTCTTGGCGCTCCTTGATGACCTGGTTGTGGTCTTCAGGATGTCTACTGCTTTTCTTTTGTCCCCTGCAGTGTCAGGCTATGGCTCTTCCAAGTTCAGTTGCGTACTACCTGGGTTGGCTGGGGCCCCCTACTTCTCTGCTGTGGTGGCCAGGGTTACAAAGAAGTAGGCGGGCTGCAGCGACTAACCTTTAGTCTGCCAGGATCACTGTGGTTGGGTCGTTAACCACATGTTAATGAAATGTATTGACAGTTTAAGCCTCTTTCCCCCTCAGAGACAACGAGGAGAAGCATAAGCTAATCTCCAGAACTGAGGCCAAGCAGCACTACCTGCTGAAGGACTGTGACCTGGACCAGAGAGAGCCTCCACTCAGGTTTACACTGAAGAAAAACCCTCATAACCCGACCTGGGGTGACATGAAGCTTTACCTCAAACTACAGGTACTGGCTGGAAGACGGGGACTATGTGCGTCACAATCAATACGTTTTCCCATATTGTCTAATATCGATGTTTAGCAGGAATTATGATTTGCAATGATTTGAAGAAAAAAAAAATTGCGAATTGCACAAACTATTTAAAAAAACAACAACATTGAAATATGATTTTAAGACCAACATACAAATAATGAAAGATCATCAAGCAGTGAAGTAGTGCTGAAACAATCAGTTAGTCAATCATCATGAACTAGAGAGGCCACAGGTTCTTGGACATTTTGCAATTTTCTAAAATTTCATCGACTAAATAATCAACTAACCAGAATGATTGTTGATCAATGGAGGAATAGTACAGGATAGAAACAAATATTGAAATCAATTTTAGTTGCAGCCCTAAATCAAAGCCACAAACATTTTAGTCAAAAACCAACTAACCCCTCACTGTGCTGTGTGTTGTAATGAGTCTGTCTGAATTGTGTATTTGTGTGTGTTAACCAGGTGGAGAAGAGGTGTATGGAGGTGTGGGGCTCAGAGGAGGCCCTGGAGGAGGCCAAAGAGACGAGGGAAGAGAACCGAGAGACGCAGAAACAAAAACGCTTCAACAAGAAGGTCAAAGGTCGGTTACCCTTTCTTAGCCCAAATACCAAGTCAGTTACATTACGAATTGTGTAAACATCAACATTTGGATTTGGGATGAGCGTCATAAGCTCTGGACGTGTGGATATTTCATATATCTGTGTTTGTGTGTCAGAGCTGCGCAGGGCGGTAAGGAGCAGTATGTGGACCAAAGACACCAGCGTTCACCAACATCAGTACGGACCAGAGGAGGTGGTGGATCCGGAGGAGGACCTCTACAAGAAAACCTGCACCACCTGCGGACATGAACTCACTTACGAGAAGATGTAGACACTCGCGAGCACACACACACGCACACTGACTGTTCAGTCTACAAGGAGAAGATATTCTGTGCTTTTATGGGGAACCATGCCTCTCACAAACCCTCGATCCGTCCGCCTGTATTCCTTTTTCCTGGATTTCTACTGGTATTTATTAATAATACATTTCATCCTGATGACTTACAAGGAGCCAAAATCACTCTCCTGTGTGGCACTTACAGGCCGTCAGTTATAATACCTTTTTAAACAGCTGTTACTGACTTCAACTGCTGTATCTTTTAGCAGACTGCCTTTCCGGTCTGCTGCATAATGCTACACTTCCCTTTTCTTTTGTAGCAGAGATGCCTGCTTTATGATTGGAACAGAAATTACCAGTATGATTAAAACTTTGCTGGGGGGATTCCATTTTTAGGATTTCAATTTTTTCAACTAAATACTACCTCGCAGATTTCGGTCGCATGATACCATGATGTAATCGCTGTCATGTGAAGTATGTTAAACTTGACTTTTCATCGCCTTTGTGGCCTCATTCAACTCCGCATTAAGCCACAAGTCATATTTCATTATGACTGAATGCAAAGGCTTTGTTTCTCATGTCTGATTCTTAGTGTCGGCTATAAAGAGACAAGCTGTCATTGTCCAGATATTCATTATATTACTACAGTTAGACTGAAAATATGTAAAACATGTTAACATCTTGGTGTAATGTAAACAATTTAATAAAAAGTTAATTTCTTTTCCAAGTTTTTTGTATTTTGAGACTTCGCAGAAAGTCTTCAAAATACTTCTCTCCATATTTTTCTTGAAGTGTAGACATACAGTTTGAAAACAGTCTGGGCCAAGTTTGCATCTCTTATTTTTTTGTACATTAATTTAACATGTAGCCATGTCACTGTCTTACTTTTAATCTTATTTGTGGAGTGGGCTTGTTGTGGATTAAGGGGTTTAGATTTCCAATCCAACCTTTAATTACTTATCCCATAATTTGGTTTTTCATATCTTGCTGTTAAAGAAACTTAAGCTTTGTCAAAAATAAGTCAGATTGTGTTTTTCTCAAATGTAAGTTCTCAGAAACCTGGCTTATCGACCAAGAGGGCAAAGTTATTAGTACAGGCACAAATCCTCAAGGGTTTCTTTTTTAGATACTCTAACAAATCAAATTAGTTTTAATAATTTGGATGAAAAAAAAAAAAAAGTATGTTTCAAAATGACTCAATTTCATTAGTGGCAGCTATATTTGACCGGCTATAGTCCATCCCAGTCGTTGCAATACCTTTAAAGGCTAAATACAACCCATAAAACGCAGATTCCACTTGTCAAGTGATTAAAGCTGCCACCTTGTGCCTGAAAGGTTTATACCTCAAAATGACTTGATCTGAATTTTACAAGACCTTAATATCATTAGTCTGATTATAATCCATTACCACCAGAAATGTTTCATCATAATACAATCTTTCAATTTCTCAAAAAACATTTGACCCAATAACTTATCTACATGGGTAAATATTACCAACCAAATGTAATGTTATGTTTAAACTTTATATTGAGTCAAAGAATAATTTACTGACCCAAGTTTAGGGTTCTGTCTGTATTGCATAGTGTTATTGAGCCATAAAACATTTGTATGCGTCTTTCGTCCTATTAAACCTACAGTTTTTTTAGAAAATATTTTACAAGTTCTAAAATACTTCAAAGGGCATATGACATGCCAGTTTTTAAATATATATATACATATAATTTGTTTATACCTTTAACAGTGTAATTTTCACAGTCACATAAAGTGTTAACTTGAAATGGGTAGTCAGTTATTGTTCTGGCAGCTTTGTGTGCTACACAAGAGTCAACGGCAAACAAGACACTCCTTTTTCCAAGTAGTCATGACTAAGCATAAATTCAGTCATTCCTTTACTTCTGAGTGGGCGAGTTTTGCATTTTATTTAAGGAAGTCAAAACTGAAACCTAACCAAGAGTGTATTTGGTTGCAAGTCCCTTTAGCCGATTGCCCAACTTTCTTTATCATCATGAGTCACAGGTCAGGAAATTCTAATACAATTACTAACGCAAAGTAGATATTTCAAATAATGCACAACCTTTATTTATTAAGTTACTTCAAACATGGAAAAACAGGTTTAAAAGTCAAAGGTTCCCTGAACATCAGAGGTCTTGAATACAAATCCATCATCTGTACTGTCAACCTTGACCCCCACAACTTCACCCTATTCGGAAGAAGAAAAAAAAAGAAAAAAAAAAAAAAAAAAAAAGAAGTTCACAATGTTAGTATGCTTCAAACCTGCAATTACAAAGACATTGGAGCCATTTCAAATGGGCTCCCTTGCCCTCAGATATGGCATAAGCTTGAGACGTTTCCATGAATTTCAAATTGACTTAGTTGTAAAACTGATGAAGAAAACAATGAAAATCCGCTTAATTTTCAAATCTTCAGTGTGCTCTTACAATATGGATTTAGGAAATTTGTCATGCACTCTGCTACTTACATCACCAAAGTACTTCTCTATGAGGGCATGAGCAGCCTGGTACACCATATCATTGTCGTGGTTCTGCAACATCTCAATGCGGTCCAGGCCTCCCAGCTCTTCAATCAGAAGGCTAAGTTTCTCCGTCTCACCGAGCTTCTCTGCTGCCTGAAAAGTCAGTTACTGAAACCAGCCCTCTCATCTGCCCATTTCTAGGTCCAAGTCAAATTGTAAAACGTTTTATAATCAGGTGCAAGAATTTGTGGGTTTTTTGGCCCCCTCACCAGGAAGATGTTGTTGATTGCTTCCAGTATGACCAGAATGACTTTAGCATCTTTGACCTGCAACAGGTTGATGATCCCCTCTAGGGCTCCACTCTGCACCAGATTGACCACCTGCTCCACAGTGCCCCCACTAGTGAAATTTGTCACTGCCCACACTGCCTCCCTTTGAGTTTTGAAGTCTCCCTGGGGAAAAAACTAAATTGTTCAGCTACTTCTCACATAACATTTGTTGCTGTCCAGTGAAAAACATTAAAGTAGACCCTGCTGCCATTAGCACAAGAATAATCATTTTTAAAACTACAGTTCAACATGTCTGAGGAAAAGAAAAAGTCGAGAAGGTCATGATTTAGCTCACATTTCTAAGCTGTTCCACCAGAGGAGGGAGCAGGCCACAGGTAATGAGCTGTTGGATTTGTCTACAAGGGCCAGCAGCAATGTTAGACAATGCCCACGCTGCCTCCTTTTGCACACTGGCCTTTGGGTTCCTCATCAGTTGAGGTAGGACTTTCAAAACTCCAGCGTCAACTGCCACCTGGGTCTGCAGGTCTGAGCCACTCACTATGTTCCCGATTGAGCGGAGAGCTGGGGTCTGGAGGTCAGACAGGTAACAGATACTATTAGATCGTGACAGGGCAGTTCTGGCCCATCACCAAGCTTTGAGGAAAACTACAAGCGAACATTTTACTCAGACAAAAGTTGCATCGTCAGTAGAGTCCTAACATGTAGCAGTAACAATCTGGTTGTAGCGTCACATGCAGATGGCAGCTCATGCAATGTTTGAACTATATAGCGCATTGAGGACAGAGCAGGGGTCTCAAACTCATTTTCACTCTGGGCCACATCAGCATCACGGTCGCCCTCAAAGGGCCGGTTGTAAATGTGAGACTGTAAATGTAACTTCTCCTAACATATTGGTAAATAACTGTCTCTGCATTTGATTATTGTTTATTCAAGTGTAAAAATATTGTACATGCAGTTATATAAATGTATATTTAAGCACATTTGTTTTTATAACTTAAATCCTTTTAATTTAGGGTTAAGAAACCCACATTACTCTATCAAATATCAAACTATTAAAGAAAATAAACACAAGTTATTACAATAACTTTGTTCAATGCTTAAAATCCTTTCAAGGGTGCGTTTGCACAATCCCACGTGAAGTATTGCATGTGTTGTAAAGCCACGTTTAAAGTAGTCTTCAATGTACTCACAATACATTTCAAATGTAGGGTAACCAGCCAAAGAGCTGCTTCTATGACCGTTTTAGTATCTCATCATTTTGATTTTTTTTTTTTAAATTTTGCTGGCGGATTCGCGGGCCACAAAATGACGTGGCGGGCCGTCATTTGAGACCCCTGACAGAGGGTTGAATGAGTCAAGCGCACTGTACCATGACACTGAGCTCCTCGTGGCTCATTAGCTCCACCAGTCGAGAGACAATGCCAGTTTTCACTACAACATCAATGCGGTCATTGTCACCATCTGAGAGGTAGGAGATTGCCCAGCATGAGTCAGACAAGATGTCCTTATCACCAAGATGGAGTAACTGGATCAGAGAAGGTAGCACCTGAAGGAACAGTTACAGCAGTTTAGTCATCCCTGCTGGTATTGTAGCACCTTTCTTGCACTGGATCGAATCTTCTGTGGCTCTGGATACAAAGCTCAGATACTTCTGTAGTGTAGCAACTGTGACTTCACTTACCTGCTGGACTGCAGACAACGGTGGAAAAGGGTTCTTATTGCGACACAAGTTGGACAATGTCCATGTCAAGTTACGCAGGTAGCCAACCTGTGGTAAAAGCATTATGAACAACAGGACTGATACAGCAACAACATTTAGACTTGACTTTGACGCGAACGCTACCTTCAAGTCAAATTCTGTAGCCAGTTCCTCATCTCTACTTGAGGCTAGCGGGGCAAAGCTACATTATCAGCAAACGTTACATCCAAAACTCCAAATAAACAGTTTGTGGTGGAGTTGCATTGTGGAGAATTATGTGCCAGATGTATACGACATGGGCTTTTAGTCTACTAAATCAATTTACACAGTTTTAAAATGTACACTGCAGTGCAAGCTGGCCGAGTGCCCTCTTTACAAAGCTCAATGCCAGTTTCTGAGAGGTCGGAGTAAATTTAGTCCATGAAGATTGAGGTGAAGTTTTGACATACTGGTGTGTCTGGGGAGATGCGGGCCAGTAAGGCTGGGACAACGTTGCACTCAATCAGGATGTCTCGATAAGCTGCACCATCACCTGTAACAAGAAGTCACGTTTTGTGACGTTAGTACAGCAAACTACAGTGACAGACTGTGCACCAGATTTATTTTTCAAAACCAATCCCTTTAGCTACAGTGAAAGACAGAGCACCATATCAACATTTCAAAGACACAAGCCTGAGTCAATTCATAGTGCAATACAGTAAGAGTTGATAGTCCATAAAGTGAGCAACATCTTTAGTTTCATCATTTTGGAAGCCATTTCTCTAATAACATCCTAAATGTATCAGCTGTGTCAATTCATAATCAAATCCAGACATGGTTTAAAACATTCAGCATTTTACCTGCAATGTTTCCAAGAGCCCAGACAGCCTGTTCACTGATGTGCAACATGGGCGACGCGAGCAAGGCGATGAAAGCTGGTACAGCCCCATGTTCCACTACCTGACACACAAATGCACTGTTGTGTTGGACCGTCAAGCCATAAAGAAAGCCTTAAGTCCATTTAGTTGAAGTCTGTTTTAAAGTTTCAAGAAGATTATGGTCCTGACAACCTTTTTCAGTCAAATGGCTGAAGTCACAATAATTAGGTTAGGTCTTGTGCTTCACAGAGGTTCATTACTGTGTTCACACCTGTTGAGTATGCCAAGACGTTCCAGAGGCGATGTTTGTAAGGGCCCACGCCGCTTCAAACTGCAGATTCGGCTCATCATCCATACACAGGAAGGACACAAAGCGGGACAGCAGACCTGCATCTACGATCTCCTTCAGAGGAGGGTTACGCTCCTGAGACAGCAGCTTCCTGAGGGAGAGGATGAAACAAATGTCCAGGTTGCTATAGATTTCCCTACTTCCATTAGTTGCAATGGGTATAACACAAGATATTCAAGTAACCCAATAGGTTGTGTAAAATGTCAATGTCATTACAATTCCATAGGTGATCACCTCAATATGGTGCTTTTCTTCAACAATCCAAAAGATAGTTCCTTAGGACCAAAAATTCAGTCCTCACCTTAGCTTTTTTTTGTCCAGTCTTTGCATGATGCATGTTGCACTTTTACATAATTATCAAAGCAATTTTGGTGATCAACTAATCACAAATGTTTGCACATAACACACTACAGCAATTGCATCATATGCAACAAATTATGGTTCATACCAAAGTTGATAAATGACCCCTGATGGCTCACCTGGCTGCCTGGCACCCTCGGGTTTGGGACTCCTTGCAGTCGGAGTTCACATCTTTAATGATATCCTCAATGGGTAAAAAGGACACCTAAATGACAGACACACCGTTAGAGGCTCCACTAGTTAAG